CTCTCTCTCTCTCTCTCTCTCTCTCTTTTAACAATCCCAATGTCAGGAACCATTTTTTTTCTTTATTATGATGTAGTAAATTGAGTAACCCTATTAAAGTGAATACTTTCTTTTAATGGACTTCTTTCCTGACCCCAGAGGAGGAGTGGGATGTAATTAACATGAGGTTGTTCTGTGTATATGTAAATATTCAAACTTTTTTACTTCTCTTTAGAGCCACCTTTTTAAGATGTGAGATGGTTGTACAAGTCAAAAGTAAGATCATACATCTCATTCATTTTCTACAAACAGGACATTATACAGTAAAATCTTTGTTACCCGGCATTTAAGTAACCAGAAATTCTATTAACTGGAATTTCCAGCTGGGCGTGGGGGGTGGGGGAAGCTCACGGGCAGTGGCTGCTGCCACCGCCTACCACCCTGTGGTGTTGCTGCTCTGCGTGTGGCTGCTGGCACCCCCCTTTTTCTCTCCCCACCCTTTGCTCCGTGTGCTGCTACCACCCCCCACCCCTGCTCTGCGTTATCTGAAAACTTCTGCCGGGTTATTTCTGATATGTAAAAATTCTGGTTAACCAGCAATCTCCTTTCCCTGGGGATGCTGGATAACAAAGATTTTATTGTAGTAGGTTTTCACATATCTAATAGCAAGCTTCTGTGCCTTCAACTCCACCAATACTATTCATTTAGTTCATGCAGAAAAGGAGGCTAAGCATATATGCTTTATTGTTTTGCTAGAAGTTATGGAAAGTGAACATTTTTATTTTAAAACAAAAATTAAAGGTTCTCTACAGTGTTACTTAACTCTTGGAATGCATGCACCATTAATATTACAAACTCTGGGCTCTGTCAGTGTGAGGGTACAATAGAACATAATCCTTTCTGCTCTCATTTTTGTATCATTTGAGGAAGTGAATTTAAAATCCTATTTTGGCCGATTTTAGTTGTTTCTTCTTTCCTACAAACAGTGTCTTGTCTGCTGTAATCCAGTTAGGCTGATGACCATTCAAGCACAGATTCAGATGAAGAGGAGGAAGAAAATGGATATAGAGGGTATTAATTGTATTTATCAGTTTGGATGCAGTTCATCCAGAATATCTTGCATAATAATTACAAGAAACTTCCAGGATCTTCTGCCTTGTATGGCTAAGGCATTGGAAATTGAGGTTTTAATGGTACAGGGGATTTTATACATGTTTTTCAGCATAATGCAGCTTCAGTCAGTGGGCATAGTGCTTATTGTCTGTTTAAAAAAATAAGTGCCCCAAAAACCTTCTCACTTCTTCTCTTCTTTCTTTAACTAAAAAGGTTGATAACCTATGCCAAGTATCACACATAAGTACTCTGAATAATTGTACTTTTTCTGCCTGCTAAAGTGTCTTTAGTTGTTTGTGTGGTAGTTGACAGGTCAGAAGTCGGACGAGATACTAAGTTATCTTCCACAGAGCAGGGAAAGCAAGGAAAATAGAAGTAATTGGGAGGATGCTGGAAGCAATAAATATACTCCTGAAGCCCTTTCAGCTCTCAGCACTTAGTACCAGATGGACTTAGCCATATTTACATTCAGAGCCAGATTCGCATTCAAAATCTAGAATGGATGCCTGCCAATCATAGATTTCCTCTCAGAGAAGTCCATCTGAAGCCTGGAAAAAGTCATATTCTGCAAGGGCTACTTAAAAGGCTGGTAGAAAAATTCCATATATGTACATTTTTTGATGGCAAACACACTTTTTTGGTGAAAGTTTTCCAGTTTTCAACCAGTTCTACTTGTTTGCAGTTCCTCTGAAACAACCTGTTTCATCACCATAGCAGTGATTCTTAATGTACATTTCATGAGAGAAGAATTCCAGCCTCTTATTTGGAAGACTCCATCTAAGACCCTAGCAAAACTTGAGACAGGTCAAGTCTACTGTCAGGTGGCCTCTCATGTCATGCTTTTAAAGATGTCGCTTTTTTTTTTTTTCCTTCTCTCTCTCTCTAATGCCCAGAAGACTAGTACCACTTCTTTAGACTGTAGGTGAACACTAACTTTTCTTAAGAATGAGGCAGATTTATATGTAGTTTTCAGTTGTACCATGTGTTCAACATATAAGTATTGCATTTTACTGGACACTTGAGGGGTAGGCATTGGATCTTTTTGTATTATTCTATTCCTGTTAATATTAGTTATTACATCACTCTATAGATGTACAGCTGCTACAGAAGAGGCAGCAATTATATTCATAAGGGTACAATCTCAGGATGCAACCTAATACTTTTAAGGCAGCAGTTTTGGAGTCACAGGCCAGAAGGTCTGAGGTGAGATGGTGTCATGACTTTTCAGTGCTGCCATTTCTTGCCTCTTCCCTGTCATTGCCCAGGTGCAGGCACGGCTTCCTGCTGCCCAACCCAGGCACAGCTACTTGCTAGCCTGGCCTTGGGGTGGGCACAGGCAAAGCCCCTCAACTTGGACGTGATGCCAAAGCCCTCTGGCTCTGCAGGTCAGGTCTGGCCTCTGGGCTGCATGTTTCCAATCCTGTCCTAAGGCTTTTGAGGCTTATGGTCTTATATATATGTTCTCTAGGGCTTTGCGAAGCTTCGGTAGCCGATTTGATTCAAAGGAGATTAGGCCTGATTCAACGGCCAAATCTTCAAATCTGAGTCTAATCAGGAGACCCATTAAAAGGTCCGAATTGAATTGGAAGCCTATGAATTGTTTCGGAAAAGCTTTGGCGTGATTTAGAGATTCAGCCATAGACTAAACAGGCAGTTGTCCTCGACCACACTGGACACAGCTGCCTCCAGCTGGTAAGTTTGTTGTGGTATGCTGAGGGGAGTGGGAAGGGGCATGGGGGGAGGGCAGATCAATGCCTCCACAGTGAGGGAGGGATTGGGGCTGGGACAAGCTGCCCAGCCAAGGTTGGTGGGGGGAGCGCAGGACTTGGCGAAGGGGGCTTCCGCCACTACACGGCCGCGCGATGCTGGTCCAGGAGGGCACGGGAGCGGGCATGTGCCCCAACATCTGTGCGAGGTGGGCTGAGCCAGGATGCAATCTGGGAGGCTAGCCCCAGCCACTTGCTACCAGGCTATGCTCCGTGGGGTGGGTAGAGCCAGAGCTGTGCTCAAGGCAGCTTGCCCCAACCGCAGCCCAGAGTGCAGCCCTGGCTCCACCTGCCCCGCAGAGTGCAGTGGAGCAGGGGCTATAGGTGGGCTGTAGCCATCCTAAAATTCCCCATAGCCCCTGCCACCGGCCTGCTCTGGTCCAGGTGCGCGTGGAGATGCGGAGAGGCTGGGCAAGCAGTGGGAGGGGATAGCCCCTGCACCTGCATTGCACGCCTGACCCCCTCCTCCCTGGCTGGGCACGCGGCAGCAGGGCATAGCCTGTGCTCCCAGTGCCTTCCGCCTGGAGCGAGCCATGCCTGCATCGTGTGCCCTGCCCTGGCTGGGCAAGCGGCAGCAGGGCATAGCCCCTGCTCCCAGCATTGCCATGCCCGCATCCTGCACCCTCCTGCCCTGGCTGGACAAGTGGTGGCAGGGAAGAGCTCCCACTCCCAGCACCTTCTGTCCCCCCTTCCGCAGTGCAGCCTGGCCCAGCCCGCCCCACACAGATCCAGGGGCACATGCCCACTCCTGTGCCCTCCCAGACTGGCAGTGCACGGCAGCACTAAGTGGCAGGAGCCCCGCTCCCTGAGTCCTGCATCCCCCCTGCCCCAGCTGGGCAGCTTGTCCCAGCCCCAATCCCTCCCTCCCTCATTGTGGGGGCATTTATCTGCCCCTTCCGTCCCCCCCCACACACCTTTTCCCTCCCCAATCCACCCACCACAGCAGACTTACCAGCTGGAGGCAGCTGTGTCCAGCGTGGTTGAGGACTGCTGCTTGTTTAGTCTATGGCCGAATCTTCGAATCCAGTTCGGCTGAATCGAATTGGGACAGCGACTCAAATCACCAAATCAAATCACTGTCCCTCTGAATCAGCCTAATCTGAATTGAATACTTGCTGCTTCACACAAGCCTAATGTCCTCCACATTTTCCAGAAATAAGATGCCTCTATTTGGCCCTGGGTGTAGACCAGCAGCCTCTGGTCTGAACATCAAGATATTTTGGCTTATGCATTTTAGCATAAAGTTTCTTGTAAGCAGGAAAAACATCCTGGTGAACAAACTGGGCTCCATGCACACTGTATGCTTCACTCTTTGAAAAAAGACACAACCATTTTCCAGAAGGGCAGAATCATTAAATATGAACTTCTTTGCCACGGATGCCTACAGTTTTGTTCCATAGTGGGGAAACATGGGATCATAAATTCTTTATGGAAGTTTCCTTACTTTTTTTTCCTGCGTCTTCTTTCTTGAGAGAGATAGCAAGGTAGAATTTATATAATTTGACTGTGTCGCAAGTTTAGTTCTTTAATATTTTTGGCCACTAAGACTATGCCTAATTCCTGTTTCCCAAATACTTTCTTAAAGGTTGCTTCACATGCTACCTCTGTAGCTGAACTTGCTGGATCTGGTCATTTTAGATTTTGACAATTGTTTAAGCAGCTGAAGTTTGTGCTTAAAAGGTACTATAGATTGTTTTGGAGGTTTGTAGGGCTACGGAGAAAAAAGCACCCCAAATAATATCCATCTCCTAAGTGGAGAAAGTTTTTAGCCTGAGCATCTCTTAAAAACACTGCTCCTTCATCTTTCACAGTTTATTTTTAACCAAATAGTCCACAATAAAATCGACTTCATTAATCCTGAAGCTATGGGCCCATGGGGAGAGGTACATAAGAGTGTAAACTGACAGACCTTCAGCTACTCAGCAGCAACTGAATACCTGCACATTTTTACCACCCACTAAAGACAAGTTAGTTTATGCCTCACTGGAAGGGTAAGAACATGCACACAGGCATACTGTGGAGTACCAGATGTGCTATAACTTCACATGCTTGCTTAACTTGCCTAACGTGTTTATGTAACCATACACTGAGGTCAGTTCTTGCATATTTTTGACTACCATCATCCAGTCTAGGGATTTCAAGTCTTTGTCCATCTGCTGTTCAGAATTTTTCATAAGTTCTGGTGCAACTGAGAGGCCTGGCCAAGGGCAAAGCATCCTGATTATCCAGTTAAATAGGAGCAGACCATTGCAATAAGCCTTGGAGAAAAGTCCAAGTGGAAGGCAGTTTTTGATCAGAGGATTTTAATAGATAAGATGCAATGTCCATTCTTTACATCACCCCAGAAAAATGAAGGTACATCATGTTGATCTAAGGCAGCTTCCACAGCATGTCTGTAGAATTATTTGGTTGCTCTGTGAAGCTATATTCCAGCGTGCTGAAAGCTTTACTTCCTGACTTTGGAGGCTTGTATGATATTTCAGATGTGTTTTCCTGTAGGCTCTGCTTTATTAGTATTTTTAAACTTTTCCCAGGTGGACTGTTGTTTTTATCTAATTTTTCCAAGAGTAATAATTGGCCCTGGCAGTCCTCAAAGGAGACCAAAATGATTAATCGCCTGTAATGAAACCTCAGGCTACATTTCCTACCAGTTCAAATCTACTTGCATCTGTCATCTTTCCAATACCTTTTAAATCCTGGGGCTGCAGTTTCCTATATGTCTTTGATCAAAAGCTTGCGTACACATTTTCTACCATCTCTGGTTTCTGAGCTTGTAGCGCTTATTTTATAGAATGCCTTGGAGAGAGAATTCTTCCAAAACTGTGTTACCTGAATGTTCTTTCTGTTAGTAGCATGTTAACTACTTACATTAGTTCTACATTCAGTAAAAATGGTCTCCCATTTACTGTTCTTTAGAGACTCATACAAGGGAACATAAGCCTTAGATATATGAGAGTGCTTTTCCAACTTATATTTTTTTTAAAAAATGAACAGTGCCTCAAAGAGTACATGAAAACTTCTGATATCAGTAAGTCAGTGAGAGCACTAGATGAACCCAAGAGAGGCTTGATGCATCCAGTGGGCCATGTTCATCAGCGTATTTCCTTGATACACTGGGAGCCAAATTGTAACGCAAATACATCACATGGAATAAGCCAGTAAATACATGATGCGTTTATTTCAGTATCTGTTCTTCCACATACATGAATGAAGATCACACATCTAAAAGATAGATAGTTGCTTACTTTGCTAAGAAAAATGAATGTATTGTACATGTATATGTGTTTTAATATATTTTAAGGACAGAAAGGACCTTTATGGGTATTGAATTTGACCTGCATAATACAGGTTATACTACCTTCATTGTATCTTAATGTTGTTTTTCATACCTGACAAAACAGAAATTCTTTATTGAGGGTTACATGCCCTCCAGTTTGAAGTTTTAAAATGAACTTGCTGAGTTACAAATGCTGTAAATGATACTATAATATGAATTTCAGACAAGTCATTCACACAAGATGGAATTCAGTTACCAGGAGAGATTATTAGAGAAAAACTACAATCTGAATTGACTATGTAAAGGATATTTAGGTTGCTGAAGATGAAATAAAGGAAGAAAAAGTTGAGTTTCTTACCCCTTTACCTCTACACATGCTCCTCCCACTAAAATCCCAGGCATAGCTTTTGCTTATTGTTGGTCTTTTAAAATTGGATAGTCAGTTTTGTGATTTATTGCTAGCATGTTTTTAATATGTCCAAAGCAAAACAATATGTAATAACTAAACAAATTCATTTCTCTTATTTGTTTTTTTTTCTTTTGTTTTATTTTACTAGACTAACGAAAATGACCTAAGGAAGTTTTTTGCCCAGTATGGGTGTGTAAAAGAAGTGAAGATAGTTAATGACAGAGCTGGAGTATCAAAGGGGTTAGTATAGTAGCAATATGGAAATTGAGAACACAACAGTAAGTGGAAAAGTAGAATAAAACTTGATTATGACTTTTTCATGGTTACTAATGTTGCTATCACAGGACTGTGACTCTCCCAACAATTTCCGTTAATATATGTGTTTCTTAATTTTAACAGTGTCCGAAATGGCTTCATTCATAGATTAGTGATTAGCATCACCGTTCGTTCCCTCTCAGCACTTCAACTTCATTATAGGGTATCATTGGCAAGAATGTATAATAGTATGAATGAGATCTTAATTTCCACTCTAGTTGTCTATGCCATATGAAAGGGTAGAAGTGGAATAAAGGTCTTTAAAAGACTCAGAGCAAGCCTGGAAAAAGATCCCTAAAGCTCAGGATCTATATAAGTATGCCTTCTGAAAACACTATAACACACCTGGTTTAAAGAAGGGCAGGATGTGGGGTGAAAATGTTGGGGCAGTGGCACAATATGCAGTGTGATGGTGTTTAGACAGCTGGGATATGCTGTCACGACTATAAAATGGTTTTTGTGCCATTTTATGGCACAAAATAGGAGAGTTCACAGGTGATTTAAAACTGTACACTTCCTGAGTGGTGAGTTGTGTGCTGCAGCTTTGTATTGCAGCATTGACTCTTGCCCTGTGATTAGATCATTGTTTTCCTTTGTGCTACTGCTTCCTGTAGTATTGAACATCATCATATGTGGTATTCAGCATGACTGGGTCAGCAGTAATGTCAACCATACAGTAAGCACAGATAGATATAGGTAATAGTGTTTTCCTGCAAATTTGCCTCATATCACATTGTTACAGCATCACTTTCTATTTGGTCCTCTGAGTAACATTGTAGTTTGATGGTATCTTTCCAAAACTACAGTTATCAATTTTAAAATGGGAAGCGTTTAACAGACTTAAATTTTATAAACGTACATTTTAAATTAAATCAAAAGTTAAAATGTTACGCAAGAGTAAATCTTATGTATCAGACTACTTACTTATTTGATATATAAGTAGCTAAGGACAATTTATGCCATAGTTCTTTGTTTGAGTACCTGCAAGCTAGCTTCTTGAAGGACAAGATTTAATCAGACCAGTGTGAATTAGAATACATTTGCTGTTAAATGCGATGATATATTTAAAATCACATTTTCATTAGGGGTGCAAAGATTTTTTGGGCAATACTGATGGGCAATTACTAATGAGCCTTATTAGTTGATACCAATCTGATTGCAAGCCCATCAGCTTGGAGAGCAGCATCTGGCTGATAAGTCTGTGGGAGGAAGGAACCAGGGGGAAGGGAAGGGAAGGGGCTTGGGAGGGGCAGATCAAGGCCTCTGTGGTGAGGGAGGGAATGGGTGGGACAAGGGCAGAGGCTGTCCAGCTGGGGAGGGGCAGGGTGTGAGATGGAGCTGCCAGTGGCTTGTCCGGAGGACACAAGAAGGGATTGGGGGGAGGCATGGGGGGCATGTGCCCTCCAGATCTGTGTGCAGGGTGAGGGCAAGCTGCCACTGCAGGCTGGGGCCAAGGGTAGTGCTGGGCTCTTCCCAGTGAGGGGTTGGGCTGGGGCTGTGTTTGGGGAAGGCAGCAGCAGCACTGGGAGGGAGGCTGCAGGGGAGCTATGGCAAATTTTGGGGTGTTGGTAGCCCACCCTGTAGCCCCCACTTCCAGTACCACTGCCACGCGTCCTGAGTGCAGCCCAGGCCCTACTCACCACTGGGAAGATGCTGGAGCAGTCCCAGCCCCGAGCACACAGTGGCAGCTGGCCCTTGCCGTGTACACAGATCCAGGGGGCACGTGCCCCCCATTCTTCCCCCGAGGTGCATGGAGCTTCAGGAGCCAACCCTGCCCTCTCCCCGTACTTCCCAGACGAGCAACTTGCTGCTTTGTTTCCTGCCCCACCCTCCCTCAGCTGGGAAGTGCCTGCACCAGCCCCACTCCCTCCCTCCTTTTAGGGGGACCTTAATCTGCCCCACCCACACCCCTTCCACACCACAGACTTACCTGCCTGAGTCTGCTCTCCAAGCTGCCGGGCTGTACTCCTGGCTGTGTGCATGCTGCAGCTGCACCCATGCACACAGCATTTATCAGCAACATCAGCAAAAAAAGGCC